ACTCCAATCATTAGATTTGGAGTTAAAAGGTATAAAATAATTTATTTATTCCAACACGCTCATGCAGAAGCAGTGACTGCACACAGACACATACCAATTCGGGTAGCTGGCTTGGGGCATCTGGTGTCCCAGAGTAAAGTTCTGTTGTCCTAGAAATCCAAAAGGAATGAGAAGAATTTTACAATTTCTTTGTGGCATAAATTCAGATTTACTGCTGATTCACAGGCAAAATGACCCTGTGTTTTGCTCTGGGCTAAAATGATGCTGTCACCAAGTGCAGCCTTCAGACATCCCCAGGACAGACCTAGGAGCTCCCAAAATTTGAAACAAACCTGTAGGAATCAGCTTGGCAAACTGATTACAAATTTATCAGACTGGAATACTGCAATAACACAGGGAGGCAGGTTGCAACATGACAGGTGGCTTCTAAGTACATTAAACTGTAAATACCTAAAGTTAAATTTCATTTAAAAGGAGTAGATTTAGAGAATAGAGTGAGCTTTACCTCAGCACAGGACAGGAACACAGTGTCCTTACCAGGACAGGAAGCCACACATGTCACTGCATCGGAGTGAGCTACCAAAAGCACAAAAGGATAAAGAGGCTCAAAGATTGGATCCAACTTTCCCACATATTCCCAAGGCCCTCCAGAGGCACAGCAGTTTAACAGTTATGCCCAGACAGGGATAACTCCTGCTCAGCAGCAGCAACTGCCTCCTACCAAGGTGATGAACTGCCCAATCCAGCCATGGCCACAATCCCCGTGACAGCCCTGAGCTTGAGGGAGCCAGACAAGGGCTCCAGGGAAAGGGTCAAAGTGGGACATCAAGGGGATTATAAAAGGGAGAGAGGGGTGTGTTGGCACTCACCTCTGTAGGAGTGCAGCACCGTTTGCTCCGGGATGTCCCAGACCTTCACACTGTGGATGAGAGGGAGCAGTGAGCGCCCAGCACAGCCTGGGCACACGGCCGCCAGGCTGGGCACAGGGATGCCAAGCTGGGCACAGGGATGCCAGGCTGGGCAAACTCACCAGCAGTCTCTGCCCCCGCTGACAGCCTGGCTGCTGCCAGCCAGCACGGACACTGAGGTGACGATGTCATCGTGCTCATATTTACAGAACTTGTTCACGATGAGGCTCTCGTTCTCCTCCAGCTCCCACAGCTCCACTGCACCTGGGGGACGCAGGGGAACACTCACCTGAGTGACAGGGACACTCAGCTCAGTGATGGACAAGGACACCCAGCTGAGTGATGGCCAGGGACACCCAGCTCAGTGACAGGGACACCCAGCTCAGTGGCAGGGACACTCACCTGAGTGATGGACAGGGACACCCACCCACCTTTGAGCAGGGGAGGGGGCCGCACACCTCAGGGGAGGGACGGAGGGAACACCCAGCTCAGCAGACGGGACAGGCGCACCCCAGAAGGATGGGGCCGTGCCCACGGCTTACCGGAGT